ACGGCTGAAGTCCTTGTGGCTATCAGTGGAAAGACGATAGAACTTTACAATTTACCTTCAATGAAGCAAATGTTCAAGGTGAGATGAGAGTAACGCTGAGAGTTATCATAGAGTGTGCGATTTAGACCGAACTGCCTTCTAATGGCGATAACGCTCCTGTTGATGCAGTTTATCTTTCCTCGAAAGATTTTCACGAGATGGTTACTGTAGGAACCGATTGCAGGTAATTTTTAGATATATAATGTTGTTTAATGTTGTTACACCATGGTATGAAAGAAAAATTGATTTTTAAAGGATAGATTATGTTGTCATCGATGCAGCCAAGTCATCCGTAGTCTCTGAATGGGCACGAGAGGAGAGTCTAGCACGTATAAGTACTGCAGAAATGGTTGATTTACCTCTGTCGGAGTCACAGCAAATGATCGAAGACGAATTTGATGAAGGAGGTAGTGAGTTTCAGTTTTGAATAAGAGAAGTCTTTTTTTCCAACTTCTAGTGTCAGTCGGATTGGTGTCAATGACAAGCTTTTACTTTTTTGTACTTGCTTTCCTGTTTTTTTAGAGTTTTACCCTAAATGTCTCAGATAATTTTGTTCAGGATCAAGTCATATAATGTCGTCCTTCATTCGCCGATTGATATCTCAAGCGTCACAGATACAGAAATGGCTTTTCAACACCGTCAATCAGATATTCACGTTCTCGTACATGCTTACAACAAGAACAAATTCATTTTCAAAGCTCATCGATCATGTGCGATCAGCAGCCAAAGCAAATTAGTGAGTATGCATTGCACATGGCTGTAAGTGGCTTTACACAAATTATTTTGCAGCCAACGGGGAGAAGTTTTGGAACGAGATTTCTTCAATCTCCGCAAGATGCTGGTCATTGTTTCTTTGGATGGCGTGATCTTTGGTCTGGATAGCAGCGATGGCTCGGTCGTTTGGCGCCATTGGCTCGGCGACAATTTTGCTCCATTGAAAAACACTATCGGCAAAGAGGAGGTAACTT